TAAGGCCTCTACACTACTAGACCCAGGAGTAACCCTCGGAATAAACGGGTACCCTTTTTGGTTTGAAGGGAATTATATGGGAACCCCAACCCTAAAAAAAGGAAATAAGGGGGTAGTTTAGGGTTTAGGATCTAGGGTCTATGGGGTTTGGGGTTTAGGGTTTAGGGTTTAGGGCTTCATAGACTAGGGGCCGAGAAGGCTAAGGCCCCTATGTTAGGCGTTTGCCGAGTTCGGAGCGCCTCCAGCTCCGTGCACATCGCCGTGAAGTCCACGGCGAAGGCCTCCTTCTGAACAGCTGAAACCCCCAAGCCTTGAACCCCAAACCCTAAACCCTAAACCCTAAACCCTAAACCCTAAACCCTAAACCCGAAGCCCTGAACCCTACACCCTAAACCATAACCCCTAGACCCCAAACCCTAAACCCCAAACCCTAAACCCTACAGCCCTTTGATGTTTTTGCCTCCTCGCTCAAAGCATGAAAAACTGTGTTTGACAAACTCCAATATGGGGGAATCCTTCGCGGGCTGGGGCCAAAAGAATGCTTTGAGGGCTCTTCCAACAAGAATACAAGCCTTCGAAGGAAGCTGCCAGCCAACCACGCACACACAGGTTTTGGGGGGGGGGGGGGGTTGATAGGTCAGGGTTTCGCATTCATAGGGCTTGGGCTAGTTAAAGATTTCCAAACCCAGCTACATGTCTATGAAACCCTAAACACGTGCTCCTCGAGCCGATGATGCCCTGGTTGTTGAAACCTTCAGCCTCACGGAAACCCAAAACCTGGTTTACGGTTCAGGGTTTAGGGTTTAGGATCACCCCCCTTTCAAATTCGCCTCCTTCGAACGCCGCGCTGGCGCGGGGCTCAGGGGGCGCTTCATGGCGCCCTAAACTCTGAACCCTCGTTTCGATGTTTCAGGACTTAGGGGATTTTGGGCTGTTTGAAGCCCCTGTAAAGGTTTTAAGTTTCGGGCTGCGGGGATGTAGGATGGCTGGGTTTAGGGTTAGGGGGTTTAGGGTTGAGGGGCTAGGGTTTAGGGTTTAGGGTTTAGGGTTTAGGGTTTAGGGTTTAGGGTTTAGGGTTTAGGGTTTAGGGTTTAGGGTTTAGGGTTTAGGGTTTAGGGCTTAGGGCTTAGGGCTTAGGGTTTCAAGGTTTAAGGACTTGATCGCAGAAAACCTGTCCCGATGTTGCCTCCACATGATCCGTACGAGCACTGCCACACAAGACAAGCTCAACTTCTTAGTTCTCACTCAGGGAATTAAAGTCCGTAGCCGTATATATACATATATATATATATATATACAACACACACATTTATAGATATATATATATATATATACATATATGTATATATCGATATATACAAATACATACAATGTGGTAATAATAGTAAACTAGGAGTACCTGCAATAATACTATGCCGCTGAAGGGTTAAATCCCGAACCTCCGAAACAAGTCCCCCTCTTCCCACACTCCCACCTCACCAACTCCGGGTGAAGGTTAGGATGCAGAAGAGGCTCGAAGGCTGCTGTTGAGGGTTTTATAGGGTTTAAAGGCATGTCCAGGGTTGGGCGACCGGGTTGAACAGGGTACGATTTCCAAAGGGTGGTCTCTCTGTTGGGGTTTGGGGTTTGGGGTTTGGGCTTGGGCCCCAAACCCTAACCCTCAACCCTAATCCCTAAACCCTAAACCCTAAACCCTAGGGCTTATCGTTTCGGGCGCATCCCACAAAGCCCCAAATGGGCCTGCGGTGGTATACGCCCACCGCAGACGGCCTCCAGGGAGGCCCGCCAGGCACTGGGCACAGGTTAGGGTTTAGGGTTTAGGGTTTAGGGTTTAGGGTTCAGGGTTCAGGGTTCAGGGTTCGGGGTTCAGGGTTTAGGGTTAGGGTTTAGGGTTCAGGGTTTAGGGTTTCGGGTTTAGGGTTTAGGGTGTAGCAGTGGTCAGCTGTACGCAGTTGTGTGCAAACATGCCCACCCCAAGACCACCCAAACACAACTCAAAACGAGCCAAACCAGAGCCAGCCAAACCCAAGCCAGCCCACATCCAAACACTTCTGCACTCAACGCTGTACTTCGGACTAACATCTAGCACGCTTCCTTATGTCATGGAGCTTGATGCCTTTTTGCAAGGTGACATCTGAGAAGATGCCTTGGAAAAGATGTTAGATTTCGAGCTTTCGAGAGAGAAAATTTGGTTTGCAATTGGGACATCGGGGTATCAAGGCTGCATGGCGAAAGGCTTGTTGCTATAAATACGCCTTGTGAAAGTCCTTTCTAGAAGCTTGCGAGAGCCAAATTAGCGTTTGCGCCCACAGAAGGAGAGGGGTGGCGGGTGGGTTTAGGGTTTAGGGTTTAGGGTTTAGGGTTTAGGGTTTAGGGTTTAGGGTTTAGGGTTTAGGGTTTAGGGTTTAGGGTTTAGGGTTTAGGGTATAGATAGGTTTTAGGGTTTAGGGTTTATAAGGTTTGGTTGTGGGGCTTAAGGTTTGAGGCTTGGGGTCTAGGGGATGGGCTGTCATAGATCCAACGAGCGCCATGAACCCATACAAACCTTCAAAATCTGAGTTTGTTTAGGGTTAAGGGTAGCTCTGATCCTGCCAAAGCTGCCCCCCTCAACTGAGAGCATGCTGGGAGAGCCAGGAAGCATCGCTTTCTTGAACGCCCGCAGAGCCCACAACAAACCCAGCCAACCTGATCACTCCTCCATCGCTACTGGCCCCCTAAAACCCTGAACCCCAAACTAACCCTAAACTCTAAGCCCTAAACCACTGAAGCCCTAAACCACTAAAGCCCCAACACCCCAAAGCCCTTGACCCGAATTCGCAGCCATCGATGCATGTCCCAACTGGGGCCTATCGCAAGGCCTTCGCGCCATAGTCTGACCATGGCGCAAACACGGGCTTCAGGGCTTTAGGGCTTTTTGGGCTTCGGGTTTGGAGGGCTATTGGGGTTTAGGGTTTAGGGTTAGAGCTCCGAGTGTAGTGTGTACGTCGAGGGTGAGAGTATGAGGTGTAGGGCTTCAGGGGTTTCGTGTGGAAACCAATCTAGGCCTTGCTTCGGGCAGTGGACAACCTAGGGGACGGTTCAGGGTTTGGGGTTTGGGCTTTAGAGTCTAGGGTTTAGGGTTTGTTGGGGTTTAGGGCTTAGAGCAGCTAAGCAGCTGCGCTTAGCCACATGGAGACACCAGTCCAAGCCATCTGACTCCACCGGACTCTCCGCTGATTTGAAAGGCCTAACTGAGCCTAACGGGCAGACAGAAGCGGGTTTACGATAATCGGGGTACCTTTTCTTGTGGTCCTCATGATAAGGGGATCCTACTATTTGGGGGTCTATATTCGGCCGATTATCGTCAACCCCCATTCAGGGGTTCAGGCCAGTCCTGAAGGCCCTAAACCCTAAACCCTAAACCCTATATGCCTTAGAGGCTGCAAGGGTGAGGTCCTTCGAGCTTCAAAACCCTGGCGCGCAAAGCCGCCACAGCACCTACTAGTACACTCAGGGACTTGGGGTTTAGGGTTTAGGGTTTAGGGACACCCTTCGAAACTCAGCAACCCCGAGGAGAGCTCTGCACTTGCCGCTGCTCGGTCTGTCAGCGATCAACATGCACACGCCAGTCGTCTGCTGCCGCAAAGGATGGAAAAGCGCGGATGGGCCCAGCAACGTGTGGGATTTTGGCTCCTTCGAGCCCTCAACCCTAAACCCTAAATGCCCAAACGCACCCTGATAAACCCAGGAAAAGTAGAACAAAAATCCCAATGCCCGACCTGGTGTGCAACCCAGGGCCTTACGTGGGGCCCATCCGCCAGTCGTTAGCTGCGCTTCAACTTCAGGGCGTGGCGGCCTTGGCAGGGGCGTGGAGGCGGTTACACGTTGCTGGGTTCGGGATAGTCCTTGCCCTAAACCCTAAACCCTAAACCCTAAACCCTAATCCCTAAACCCTAAACCCTAAACCCTAAACCCTAAACCCTACACCAAGTATTTTAAGTCGGGACCTCCAAGCCAGTGGCTTTTTGTCCAGAGGGCACGAAGAGCTCAACTCATGAAGGGCCCCCTGTCGCTCTATTCTTAACCGGGGGGGGGCCCTTCCCGTAAGAGCTCTAAGAGCTCCAACCTAGAAGCCCAGAAAAAACCCTACAACCTCTTAAAGCTTTAAAACGACCCTCCGACCCCCTCTCTTCCCCCCCCCCCTCAAAACAAAACAGCATCCAAGACCCGAAGCCCCAAAAGCCTTTCAAATCACCAGCCCCGCAGCTGGAAGCCCGAAAGGCCCTAGTTTACAACCCCTACAACCCTCCCCGAAACCCCAAAACCCCAAAACCCCAAAGCCGCAAAACCCCAACAGCCCCAAAAGCCCCAAAAGCCCCAAAAGCCCCAAAAGCCCCAAGAGCCCCAAGAGCCCCAAGAGCCCTAAACCCAAAACCCCAAACCCCAAACCCCAAACCCCCAAACCCCTGAACCAAGCTCCCCGAAGCCGAGGCCTTGCGGCGGAAGCTCTTTGGCCGCACGCTGGGCGACAGCGCAGGCGCGGCTGCCGTGGGCTCAGTGCCTCCATTCGGGTTTGGGGTTTGGGGTTTGGGGTTTAGGGTTTAGGGTTTAGGGTTTAGGGTTTGGGGTTTAGGGTTTGGGGTTGTATCGGCTTTAGGGTTTCGGTTTAAGGCTTAGGGTTTAGGGTTTGGGGTTCAGGGCTTAAGGTTTGGGGTTTCGGGTTTAGGGTTTAGGGCCAACGTAGCGATGTCAAAGCGGGCTGTCTTCCAGCTCGCGGGGTATAGGAGGTGCTCTCACGCCGATCCCACTGCCCACCGCAGCCACAATGCGGCGTGCATTCATTGCAGCGGCTTGCGCTTCGCCGGGGGTCATGACGAGCTGCGCCACACGACTTCCCGGTCCAGCAAATGCCGTTGATTGACGATGCACTCCGCGGACGGCTCAGGCGCAGTCGTCCAATGCCATGTAAGTAGGCATCAAAAGAATGCAATCGGCGGAAAGGATTGCAAGCTGGTGTTGCTTCATGTCGGCTTCCGGGAAAGCTTTCCGATTTCTGGAAATCCTCGGAAAGTTGCAGCAAAAAATTTGTCAGGGCTGCGGAAAGTCTTGCGATAATCTGCTTTTCGATGCAGGCAACAAGCATTTCTGGAGCAGGTGCTCGGGAACGTCTTCTTTTGCGCCAACGAATCTTCATCAACCACTCTCCGGCAAGCTGTCGAGGTAATAAACTCTAAACCCTAACCCTAAACCCTAGACCGTGGCACAGGGCAGCCACCCCTGTAGAAAAGTTGACCTGGGCGCCACGTTGCGCAGGCGAGCCCCCAAGCCCTGAATCCTGTAAACCCTGACGCCTGAAGCCCAAACTCTAAACCCGAAACCCAAACTCCTCTTTCAGCCCTAAACCCTAAACCCTAAACCCTCAACCCTGAACCCTAAACCCTAAACCTTAAACCACAAACCCTAAACCCTAAACCCTAAACCGAACCAAGGCCCTCAGTGCCTGCCAGGGTGCTGGCCTCTAGCTCCTGGCCCTCATCGAGCCGCCGCCGGGGCAACGGCGGCAGGGACGCGCCGGCCGAGGTTTGTGGAGCTGGCGCCAGGGTTTAGGGTTTAGGGTTTAGGGTTTAGGGTTTAGGGTTTAGGGTTTAGGGTTTAGGGTTTAGGGTTTAGGGTTTAGGGTTTAGGGTTTAGGGAAAAGAGTTTAGGGTTTAGGGTTTAGGGTTTAGGATTTAGGGTTTAGGGCTTAGGGCTTAGGGCTTAGGGCTTAGGGTTTAGGGTTTAGGGTTTAGGGTTTAGGGTTTAGGGTTTAGGGTTTAGGGTTTAGGGTTTAGGGTTTAGGGTTTAGGGTTTAGGGTTTAGGGTTTAGGGTTTAGGGTTTAGGGTTTAGGGTCTTTGAGGTTGCTTAAGGGTTTTTTTTTGAATACGGTGCTTAGGGTTTGCTTGCTTCTTCCGAGGCTGTTTTTTTGGGGATATTTATGTTTTTTAGGGATATTTATGTTTTTTAGGGATATTTATGATTTTGGGGGATATTTATGTTTTTTTGTGTGTTTTTGTTTAAGGGCGTGATGTTTAGTGTGCTAAGGGTTTTGGGGATCTTTTGAAGTGTTACAGGGGTTTGGGGTGGTTTTCAGGGTTTTGGGTCTTGCTCATTTTCTTTGATTTCGTTTAAGGTTATTTAAGTCGTTCGGGTTTGGGGCGGTTAGGGGCTTCACGGCTTGGGGTTTCTTGCTGTTTGTGGTATAAGGCGTCTAAATGGATTAGGACCAGGCTTTAGAGTTTAGCAAATGGGGTGATGCCAAGCACAGCTGCTTTTTGCAACATTGGTCCCTAAACCCTAAGCCCTAAACCCTAAACCCTAAACCCTAAACCCGAAACCCTAAACCGTTAACCCTAATCCCTAAACCCTAAACCCTAAACCCTAAACCCTAAACCCTAAACCCTAAACCCTAACCATGAGCTCCACAATGCTTGCGCGACCTTGCACGTCCTCGTCGAGGAAGAACTCCACGGGAAGTTGGTCGTACTCACCTGCCCCAGAGGGTCTAGGGTTTGGGGTTTAGGGTTTAGGGTTTAGGCTTGTCCATTTGTAGCACTCTTCTGGAATTGCCCAACAACCCCATTTAGTATGGCTTCTGGGTACCTAATTCCGTACCACAGATGGACCCTCTGGGTGCGCTTAGCAAGGGCAAAAGCTCGTAGTTTCGGGATTGGGGGGTTTGGCTTTTTGGGGCCATTGGGGGTCTAGGGCTTACGGCTTAGGAAGGCAAAGGCTTTTCCCAGATCTGGATTTCGAGTTCCGATTTTCCTCAAAGCCATCCGCACGAACTGCAAACCTGCAACCCTGAAAACCCTAGTCCCTAGAGCCCTAGAGGGCGATATAGGGTTTAGTTTTTTTGACACTCGCGACCCTAAACCCTAAACCCTAAACCTTAAACCCTAAACCCTAAACCCTGAATCCTGAGCTTTGGCCCTTACAGAAGAGGAGGAGCCTGAGGGGCTTATCCCCGGCGGCAGCTCTGGGAGTGGTGGAGGCGGTCCGGCTGCCTAGACCCAGTTTAGGGTTTAGGGTTTAGGGTTTAGGGTTTAGGGTTTAGGGTTTAGGGTTTGGGGTTTAGGGTTTAGGGTTTAGGGTTGAGGGTTGAGGGTTGAGGGTTTGGGGTTTAGGCTTGGCAGGGTTGGCAGGTTTGAGGGTGGCAGGGTTTAGGGTTCCTAGGGTTTCGGATTTTTCGAGGTGAAGGCTTCGGTTTAAGTGTTTTTGGGGACTCCAGCGCGCAGGAATTTCTACTGCTTCTGGGCTTATACTTGGAGGTTCATGGGTACTTGTAACCTCAATTAGAAGCCTACTTATAGCCTACTTAGGGGACTCAAGGGGCCTAATCGGCACAGTTACAATTGGGGCTATAAGTGCTTATGAACCTCCAAGTAGGGCTCGTAGGGAAGGAGCAGGTTGTTGATGGGCTTTTGGGGAACCTCTGACCCTGCAACAGGCCCTAAACCCTGCAGGCCCTGGCTGAGCCACATCCTAAAACCCTAAACCCCAAACCCCTAAACCCGAGGCTCTTTGGGTGGGTATCACTCAGCTGCACCAAGGGCCCCAACCCCGCCACTGCAAAAAAAAACAGTTGAGGGTTTAGGGTTCATAGGGTTTATAGGACTTTGAGTTTATAGGGTTTGTTTGATAGGGGGTTTGAGGGGCTTTGTTCAAGGTTTCTAGGGTTTCCAGGGTTTTGCAGGGCTTATAGGTTTTACAGGGTTTATAGGGCTTATAGGGTTTAGGGTCTAGGTGGCGGGCCTTCGGCGCAGGAATCCGCAGAAAACCATCACCCTCTTCCTGTGGCGCGTGCGGAAGGTTCCCTCAACTAGCGGGCTCCCTTTCTTGGGATGCCTAGAATCCCCGAAACCCTAAACCCTAAACCCTAAAACCCTAAACCCTCATCATAGCTCGGGCACTTAAAAGAAGCCCAAATGGGAGGACTGCCCAAAGCCGTCGAGTTCAGTCTTGCGGGATTTGTAGGGTTTGGGGCTTCATGTGCCATTTGGCACCTTCAACTATGTATGGGATTCTCCACGAACCCCCTAAACCCTATCAACCCTAGACCCTAAACCCTAAACCCCAAACCCTAAACGCCCCAAGCCCTGAGCCCGAACCCCGAAAAGCCCTCAAGACCACAGCCCACAACCCACCCTCAAAACCCCCGACTCTAAACTACCCTAAGCCACAAAGCCCTCAGGCCGTATATCCAGGCCGTTAACCCCGCAACCCCTTCTGGAAACCCAAAACACTGGACAATACACAACCCGAAACCCCAACAGGGCAAGCGCACAAAAAGAGCACGCCTTCAGAAGCCAAGCCTACACCTTATCGAGCCCTAAGCCCTGAACCCCAAACCCCTAAACCCCAAACCCCCCGACCCTAAACCCCAAACCCCAAACGCCAAACCCGTAAACCCTAAACCCCTGAGTCCCAACCCCTGAACACAAAACCCCTTACCCCCCAAACCCTAAACCCTAAACCCCCAACCCCTAAACCCTAGACCCTAATTAAACCCTAAACCTATAAACTCAAAAAAAAAAAAAAAAAGGAAGGGAGCCTTCAGAAGCTCGCCCTAAACCCTAAACCCTGAACCCTAAACCCTGAACCCTAAACCCTAAACCCTAAACCTTAAACCCTCCATAAACCCTTAAGAAAAAGAAGAGGAGGAAGCCTTCAGAAGCTCGAGCTGCCCCTGAGCCGCCAGGGGCGGCGGCTTCACCGCCACCGGGCCAGGCGCCTCCATGGCGACCTGGGCTCTCCGTGCTGGAGTTTAGGGTTTAGGGTTTAGGGTTTAGGGTTTAGGGTTTAGGGTTTAGGGTTTAGGGTTTAGGGTTTAGGGTTTAGGGTTTAGGGTTTAGTGGTTAGCGTTTAGTTTAGGGTTTAGGGTTTTTAGGGTTTGGGGTTTAAGGGGTTTAGGGGTTTAGGGGTTTAGGGTTTAGGGGTTTAGGGGTTTAGGGGTTTAGGGGTTTAGGGGTTAGGGGTTTAGGGTTTAGGGGGTTAGGGGGGGTTTAGGGGTTTAGGGTTTAGGGTTGGGGTTTGGGGGTTTGGGGTTTAGGGTTTGGGGTTGAGAGTTGAAGTCTATTTGGTTAAGGGCAGGTTCAGGGTTTACGGTTTTAGGGCTTTTAGGCATTAATCAGCGTCCGATTTGATTTGCAAGACAATCAACCAGAAGCGATGATGGACGAGGTTCACTCCCTCCCTCTCTCTCCCTCTCCCGCTCCCCCTGCCCCTCTCTCTCTCTCTCTTGCTCTCTGTCTCTCTCTTTCTCTCTCTCTCTCTCTCTCTCCCTCGCTCTCTCTCTTGCTCTCTCTCTCTGTCTCTCTCTCTCTCTCTCTCTCTCTCTCTCTCTCTCTCTCTCTCCAGCGCCTCAAGCGTCTCTAGCGCCACTTTTTGCACCCGCTTGCTATGCTGCTGCGAGTACTGTCCCTTGTATTCCGGTGCGCTTTTCCAGGACATGTGCCTGGGGGCACCTGGCATGCACGTGCGGGGGCTGTACTGCTCCTCATCTTACGGTTCGTTTTCTTGCCGAAACCAGGAAAGGCTCCTACTTTGCTTGAATAGGAAAAGGGAAACGCCAAAGGCTCCCCTGAAGAAAGACTTGCTATCTTATATGTATAGGGCTTCGGGGCTGAAGGTTGAGGGTCTCAGACCCAATGCCTCAAAGCCTACAGCAGGTTTAGGGTATAAGGTTTAGGGTTTTTGGGTTTAAAGCTTAGGGCGATGAGGCAGCCTCCTCCGCCGAATCGGAGCTTAAACCATGTCCGGAAAAGGAAACGAAAGAAGACCTCTCATTGCAGCAGCCTGGAATCGAGCCCTCAACCCTCAACCCTCAACCCTAAACCCTATCTCTAAACCCGAAACCCTAAACCCTTCTTTCAACTCACCAAACCTCAGAACCCAGAATTCGTGGGGCTCTACCTTGGACCCCTAAGGTAGTACCCTTGGCTTTTTGGGGGCCCTTCTCAAAGATCCCTTAGGTAGCAGAAGGGCCAGTTTAGGGTTTAGGGTTTAGGGTTTAGGGTTTAGGGTTTAGGGTTTAGGGCTGAGGGGGAACCTCTTTGGGCATCCTTAGGATTACGAGTCTTAATCCCTTGTATCTAGAAGTATCTAGCTCGGTGTTCGCAAGGCCTACCGAGAGGTCCCAGACAAAAACTTGGCTTCGGCATGCCGTCCGCGGGAAGCCATCGACATCGAGGCTGGCACATCCAGGGTTTTGTGAGGGTTTAGGGTTTAGGGTTTAGGGTTTAGGGTTTAGGGTTTAGGGTGTATAAGGTGCCGACAGTTTTGGGCTCACTGCCGTCAGGGGGTTCTGGTGTTGGGAGTAGCGCCTTGACGCTGCGCTTGCCGCCCGCGGACGTGGAGGAAGGAGAATTCGGATACAAAGATAACTTTCGCTCCCCCACCCTGCCTTCTAGACCCACTAAGCCCTCTAAACCCTCAACCCATAAAGCCGGAACCCATATTGAGTCCTCAGAGCCCTAGAGCCTTAAGCCCTAATGCAGATGTATGGAGTCTATTGAGGTTCTTGAAGCCAGAATGTCACATTCAACTCTCACTTGGCGCTGGGTTTAGGGTTGAAAATGAAGGGGGGGGGGGGGGGGTTGGGGTCCAAGGCTTGGGGTTTGGGCTTGCGGTTTAGGGTTTAGGGGGGGGT